CATGTGGTGAAGGTATTAAAGCAGTTCGAGTCTACACTTGCCCGTGATGGAACCCTAGATCTGGTCCAAAACCAAACATGTCATGATCATAAGAAAAGGATTCTTCATTGGATTCAAAATCTTGCTCCAGCGCATCATGATAGTTTATCCATGCCTAAACCTAGATTTGCTTGACTTTTCCCATTGATCTGGATTTGGTAGTTTCAAGAGGTCACAATGTAATTAAAAAGGTTTCTTTCTTAAGCCTCTTTTAATGTATTCCTCATTTTGGCTTTTACGAGAATGTGACCCATTTATTGTTGCTCTGCATTAAGGTTAAAGTGATTTTCACTTGCATTACAATACACGACACGATTATTATTGTTTTACAGATCGCTTCTAAAAAGGTTTCAAGTAATTTGAAAAATACAACTCTACAAGTAAAGATAATTATTGCCACCGTTGTGTTTTGAGAGAAGAAAGCAAGTGCCCACAACATTAGGCCTAATTAAGAAATGCCTAACATTATATTTAGCTTTTGCATTGTTCTTTAACACCTAACATTATATTTACCAAAGAATTGGAGTTCAGAAAAATTGGTTCAGGCTCTTACTATATAATATTTAGTACTTATTATATTTGCCACGTGGGCATTAACTAGTCCATATAAAGGGACAATCTTCAAATTTCCCTTAAAAAAAACATGTACGCAGGTGGCCCATCCTGAACGGTGGCATGGCTGGCAGCCCAATACGATAATTGTTTAACTTGTGTACGTCTGACCCGGTCCATGAATATCCCCTACTCATGATTCAAATGGAAATGGTTAAACTTATTAATAATTATGGGCAAGTGTCCCATCATTAAATGTAGATTAGTGGAGATAGTAATGGTAATAACAATAACAACAGTAAATCATGACACAAAAGTAACAATAAAAGGAGAGCAAAGAGAAAAAACATTAATCATTAAGCGTGAATCGGCTCACTCATGGTTTGAGGTCTCGGAGAACTGAAAAATGGCCCGCAGGAGCTCTAGTTGTGTACTCTAATGGAGAACACACTTTCCTCGTTCGGATCAAAGTGGCTCTTTTTCGTTTCATTATTAATCATTTGAAAAATGTTATATAATTCAAATGAAACTCCAATGTTAAAACTAAAATATATATCATCTTTTAGATTTTTAGGGCATATTTTATTTTAGATACAATTTGAGATCTGATTGGAACATTAATTTCAATTGAATTTATAAATAGTTATTGTACCAATTTATGCTATCCCCATTTTAGGTGTTTGGATCGAAGTTTATAACGAGTCCAGATTCAATTATGCTTGGGCCTAGTTCATCTTAAGCCCAAATCATCAAAAGATAAGCAAACTTAACTCATGGTATTAGTCAAATAAAAAACTCAAGAATTTAAGAAGAGTCAATGCACGTGGAAGAGTAATTATCGGTTTATTCATTACTCTAAGATAGTATCAGTTAACACTTTGTGCCTATAAATTATAAACCCCCTATACATGGAGGCAGATATCATACATTTCACTTTGAGCGTACTCTTATCCTCTCTCTGTCTCCCTATGACCATGTACTCTTTCATTAATAGAATTCTCCTGCCACCGTTGCAACCTTCAATGATCAGGTTACTTAGACCCAACCATAAAATTTGTCTCTTATTATTAATTGTTCAGTAATGTTACACTGATCAAATTTTTAGACCAAATCAAAAGCCCAAATGACATGACAGCTGATTTGAGCTTCTTTATTTGGTGTCATTTCATTTGGGCTCCCAAAAAAACTACAAATAATATGCTGTCATGCCATTTGAGCTATTAATTTTGTCCAAAAATTTGGTCAGCATAACAATATTGATAATTGTTTTATATTTCACACTCGACTGATTTAATCATACAGAGTTAACTTTGTGCATAATCAATTTAAATAAGATGTTGATCAATTATTCTCATACATATCTCATATTTGGATGAGAAACCAATGTGTTATATCAAGTTAATCTACATCAATGCATAAATAACTTTGGTTTATCGACAGCTCCTCTAGTTTTGGTCCAGTGTTTATAGATGCATTTGGTAATAATTAATATACTACTTTAACACATTTCTATTATACCATTTTTGGATAAAGATTTGAAAAGAGTGGTAGTTTATTATCTTAAGATCACTATCAGGTTTGGATGACATATTAACACTAGAAGTTAAAAAAGAATGAAACACCTTACATTAATCCATGAACTCTATGGTCTATTGAGAGTCATTTTACATAATAGTACCATGAGGCATCATGAAATACCACATATCATATAGGTTTGGTTTATATTTGTTAGACAACCCAGTAACATCAAACCATTACAAATGAAATCATTTACACTCGAACAAATTAATGGTCCCAACATGTTATTGAGTGCTAGACTAAGGTGGTGTTTAATAAAATTGAAAATTGAACACTGAACACTGAAAACTGAATATTGAATTTAAGTTCTGAATGTTAAATTTTTTAATTCACTAAGTGTTTGATATCAACTGAAATTTAAGTATTGAATTGAATCAAACTTTTTGACAAATATAATAAGTTAAGTTTGAAAATTACTATTATTCTAAATTTGTCATTCTTTTTGACCATCTCTTTGTAACTTCCTTATTCCTATAACCACCATCATGATGGTGGTGGTACTGGTGACTGCAATGATAGTAGTGGTGGTGGCGGCGATACAGTGGTAATAATGGCATAATAATGGTGATAGTGACGGTAACACAGTGGTAGTGGTTTCATAATGGTGGCGGCGGTGGTTGTGATGGTGGTAGTGGTGGCGATGACACAATGATAATGACAACGACACAATGATGCTGGCTGTGGTGGTGGTGGTGGTTGTGATGGCAGTGACACAATGATAGTGACGTTACGGCGACACAATGGTGATAGTGTTAGCAATAGCGGTAGGATAATGGTGGTGGTAGTAATAGTGGAGGTGGAGACAACACATTGGTACTGGTGGTGGATGATGAGTATTGAAAAATTAAGAGTGTAAAATGTATTAAAAATATATTTTTCAATTACGAGGAATTGATAAAATTTTTATGACTAATATTTTCAGCATTAAGTGATAAGTAACTGACTTGTTATTTAAAATTTTAACTTATTTTTAAAAAGTGCTTAAAATATTAAGTGATATGAGTTTTAATTTATCAAATTAATTTAATTCATTAAATGTTTAAAGTATTCATTTTTATACTTTAAGTGGTATTATCAAACACCCATAATTTAGCTTAATCCTACCCACAAATATAAAGAACAAAATATTACCCTACTGAAATCGAGGAAATAGAGATTAAATGGGCGACGGAAGTTGATGCACATCCTCTACATCTTCGTATCAACTGAAACTTCACTGCACCGTTTATCTGTATACTCCAGCCACACCTGAGATGCTCTTTTCACCAGACAAAAAGAACCAAGGTCCACAATGGGATGGGCACACAGACCATGGTTAGTCTTCTTTAACCACGTGTCTTTATTTGGGAGTCGGGATAAGTTCTTACTTACATGGAGAAAATTTTGTTTAAGAGCAATATTATTGGATCTAAAAATCTGATCTAATTTACTGATTTAATTTATTGTAATCTTTGAATTGGTTGTAGGTTCCATTAAACATTGAAATTTGGTGTTGATCCAATGGTTCTTATTAAGCTACATCATTATGTCAACAAATTAGGTCAAATTTTTAGGTCCAAATAACATTGCTCTTTGTATAAATTTAATGAATCAAGTCACACTGCCATGTAATATACATATTCAATAAGAGGATTTCACAAAAGTAATTTGTGGGACACCTAAATTAAATTTTGGTAAAAAAATCATGACAATGTAATAGATGGTATCTATTCATTGAACATGTACAATTTTTTATTAGTGATGTACATTATATGATACTAATATATAAAGTGTAACCCCACTGAAAATTTTTTAAGCTTAATGAACCTCTTGCGTTTATTTAAATCCCTGATTTCCTTGGTCAAATATATGTCTAAGAGAATTCAGGTAATCTTTGCTCATCTACTCCCACTTAGCTTTCTTCTCCGATTGCCTAACCCGTTTGGTTAGCTGTCTCTTTGGAAAAGATTTGGCTTTTCCACCATTAAGACCATTCAATGGAATGGTTTCTCTAAACTAATATTGGATGACTTCCAAGAGGTAGAATCGAATCCAACATCTTAGATTATTTAGTCGGTCCATACAGTAAAGGTTTTTCGTACCTCTGGACCATATACTGGTTAGTTCAATAAGAGGGGTGATGTGTTAGCTTACAAGTTTGGTTGGTTGGATCTAGAGTTAGGTGGCGTTTGATCAAATTGAAAGCTGAATACTGAAAATTGAAGGCTGAATTTGAAGTGTTGAATACTGAATTTTTTAATTCGTAGACTGTTTGGTATCAACTGAAATTTAAGTACTGAATTTAATCAAACTGTTTGATAAGTATAAGGAGCTGAAGTTTGAAAATTATTATTATTCTAATTTTATTCTTCTCTTTAACTATTTACTGCCTTATTTCTATCACCACTATCATAAATGGTGGTGGTAGTGGTGGTGGTGACGTTGATGGAGGTGGTGACATAATGGTAGTGGTGATGACATAATGGTTGTGGCGGTGGCACATTGGTAATGGTGGCGATAGCTATGGTGATGGTGGTGGTGGTGGTGGTGGTGGCAGCCACACAATGGTAGTGGCATGGTGGTGGTGGTGGTGGTGCTAGTGGTATTGACAGGGGTGGTGGCGGTGACACAATAGTGATAGTTGTGGTGGTGGCGGTGACAAAGGTAGTGGTGGTAGTGGAGGTGACGACGACGATGGTAGTGCTGGTGGTGGCGGTGGTGGTGATAGTGTTGGTGGTGGTGACGATGACACAATAATGGTGAGAGTATAATTGTCTATTATGAAAAATTGATAAAATATTTATTGACTAACATTTTTAAGATTAAGTGATAAGTAGGTGGCTTGTTACTTA